ACCCTAGATAGGTTATTGTATTGCAGCATGTGTGAATATATGTACGTATGTAAATATTAATGGAATTTTTCATTCTAGTTTTCACGAATTATCATTGGGGTAACTTTATGGCATGTCTGACTACGCGCATAATTTCTCTACTTGGCCCTCGGTACAATGTGGTATCAACAACTGGTACCGTCTAGTCGTTACCTACTGTTACCACTTGCTACTACCTCTGGCTAATGTAAGTTTGCTATTTCCACTGCCGGTACGTAATGAGGATAGTACAAAGTTGGTCAGACCAACTGGCAACTTGTAGTATTATATTCCTAGCGACGTAATCTGGGACAAGGACACGTGCGAATCGTGCGTAAAGCCATAGAACGAGCTGACCTGGCGACGAAGGTACTTATACCGTGACTACAGTGAGTTTCAAAGTACAGTTAGGATTGGAACAAAATTTTTGTCGATCAGGTAAAAGCGCTTAAAAAAGAAAAACGTCAAAAAGGTGTAGAGGATTTTTTCTTTTTTTTTTCTTTTTTCTTACAGTTTGACAAATTTCTTTTTGTTTCGTGACAAGCAAGGGGAGAGCGGTAGGACGAGAAAAATAAATATATAAGAGAAAGAGAGAAGAAGGACGTTCCATTGTCTTGTCGTTCCTCGGTCATACGTCTTCCTGCAGTTACGTCACCATTATTTACTCATGCCCCAACCTCCTCCTTATCTTTTTCTTTTCCTTCACCTTTTTTTGCTTCTCTCGCCGTTTTACTCCGGCACTCAAAACGAGTCCCATTCTACAAGTCGCCTCTTATGCTTGTTTAGGCTTTCCTTTCTCTCTATTTTTTTCATTGTTCCCAACCATCAGGGATGTTTTTATTTATTTTTTTTTTTCAAAGAATTCGTCCCTTACCTCGTCATCTCCTACTACTAATCAGTGATCGGTATACCTAAGAGTGTATCGACTTTACCATAAATTGCTCGAGGTCCAAGCCGACCAATAAAGGCAAGAAAACCCAACACGGTTCTATACCGGCTTTCATCGATCCCGGAAATCCAACTGATGTCCCGCGACCGCTTTTAAATCCATTTACAGTGGATACAGAAAGAGTTCCTACGACTTTCTAGGTACTTTCCCTTATCACCAAAACTGTACTCGTATTCGGCACGAGGAATCCGGATAGTGCGTCGCGGTGTATATAAATCCAGTTTGATCGCGATAAGCCGAATAATCTATTACAACGAACGTACCCTATTAGCGATCGATCTATCTGCCGTTATCAGCAGCGATAATCTTCCTGTTTCGATCGCGAAGCCCACGCAGAGTTCACCAGACGGTTAATTGAAAACATTAATTTTTTCAAATTCCTTAGAGACCATTCTTCTTACCCTCCTCTCCGTGGCACACCCCCCTCTGTCAACAGATTTTACTCACTCGAATCCTCCTGATAAGACACTTCTAGCAACTGTCGAAAATGATCTTCTGTCTTGTCGCACGGTCCAGACCGATCCCGATCCTGAACGGAACCGGAAGTTGAAAGAAACGATAGCCAACCTACGGCACGTACGACCAGACCTCTCACGAGAACGTAGACCAGGGCGTCCGTGAGTGGATCGCAGATCGAACTGAGGTTGTCCGTATAGTCGTGGCAGTGGCGTCGAAGAATCGCGTGAAAGCTTAAGCCCGATCCCCATTCGCGGCGTCCCAACGCCAGGAATAACCTAGCAGTACCCCACCACTGTTTGAGGTAATTCCCTTGCGTGCACCTTCCACCACTTCTGCCTCTTGCTTCTCCGTCAACATTGGTTTCGATGCACGACGCCATTTTTTTTCCTCAACAATAATAAATATGGCCGCCACTAACCCTTGACTTTGCGCATCTTCACCGAACGTATAATTATTTATTTTCACTGCCCGAACTCCTATCTTCGGTCCATTTTGAAAATCAGCCCGGCACCCTGTGTCCGACGATATTCGCCTTCACGAAGACGGAGCAATGACTACTGAACGTCTGTCTACGAAATAATTGATTCTACATCGATCTCAATTTCCGATTATGATCCTATCGTCTCGTGACGTACGGGTTACGAAACACGTAAGTGAAACGTTGCCGTGTGAACTATTCACACGGTAAAGTTAGCATACACGCGGTATGGAGAATCATGACAAAGGGCATCCTTGTCATCGAGTCATCTGTCGCTGGTTCATCCATGTTGCCACATAGTCCAAGGCAAAATCATACCAGTGTGAAAGGACGACCAGGGTCTTTTTTGCGATAACTCTCCTTTTTTTATTTTCACAAACCAAGGACACGCAGGGTCGAAGCAAATCGAAGTCGTTATCAGTACGTTATCATGGCTCGTGGATTTCACGTTGAATTACGTCAAGCCCTTATCGGAGTTATCATTCGGTAGCCACGGAGTCGATATCATGCACGAAAAGTATAGACTCGAAGTAAAAAAATATTTCTGATCTGCTCTCGAATAAATTCCATCCTAATCCATAAAGTAGCCTCGCCTCGATACCTTGCGAGATAAGATTAATGTCCAAGCAAAGAAAAATTCAAAAAACTAGCATCCGAGCCACGCGTAACGAAAAAAAATCGAACAAGTCGGTAACGAGGAGTTCGGTTGACTTGAAAGAGTGAAGTCAAAAAAATTAAGGCATTTCAAGCCTTCCCTCTTGCTGTCCATGGGACTCAAGAGGGCGCGCTCTTAATTTTAGATTCCTGCATTCCTCCACGATTCACGCGTGGCGGCCTACTGGCACCGAGAAGGTGTTAACGAAGATCCAAGCGATCCGAGCAATCTCCCGTGAGATATTAAAATAACACGAATAAAGCCGCATACGCAATTGTAAACGAAAAAAAAAAGAAAAAAAAAAGAAAAAAAACCATTGAAAACTACCAGGAACGTACCTGATATCCCGCGACTATCCGTCACCGATGGAAGCACTCGCATATCTTTCAGATGTACACACTCCGTCATCTCGTAATTTCCAAACCGCACGATCATTTGAACGTCCCACAAACACGGGTCCTTATTTCCCATAGAGTCTATAATGCCCGATGACTTCCTGCGAGCGTAGGCGGGACCCTACGTGGGATCAATACACAAGTCCCATTTACGTAGTTAAGGTACAGAGTACCAGTAATCAAGCACCGCACGAAGCACTGTGTAGTTTTGATACACTAATTAGATATGCTTAAGTATCGATGCTTATCAATATATATGTATCAATATACATATATATATATATAACAGTCGGACTATATATTTATCGAGATACATAAAGAGATACACAGCCAAGCACATGCTACCAGAGAGTTAATCCATGAGAGACTACGATGCCTTCTAGATACGTCGCGACGCTAGGAGGCATTAGCGCCGATTATTGGCCCGATTAGAAAAGACATGTCGGCGTAACCAAGTACATTGGGAACAGCGAAGAGGTAATGGAGGCACGTAGGAGGCATGAAGCCATTTCGTGAGATGTCATCGAGGGACGATCAGCTGCCAGGATATGAATACTTAAAAGGGACCAGTTTCTTGATAGGTGATTTGATACGTGAAAATTATAGAGATTATGCGCTGGTTAACATCGAGCTAGAAAATCAATTTGGAGTGAGGCAACGAAAATAAATATTCATAGAACGAGGTCAAGGCAGGTCAAGATTCAAATCTGTCCCGATGCCTTTAAACTAAATAACCCTGTATATCGATATATAACTATATATATAGCTATATATATATATACATATATATGCGTGTATGCATATATACTCTGTAGCCGAACGCTATCCAATCTGCTCGAACCTGACGTCGTACGTCGAAACGACGTCCCCGATACCTCCCCCGTAACGAACGACGTCGATTTAGCATCGACGCCAATTTGGGTCAGAGCTTTATTGGACCGCATCGTTCGACCCGAACGAATTTCCCACTGGCAGCTTAATATCTCTCTATAGGTTGGTGCTTTCGCGTCAGATCGGTACGGCCTTTTTCCGATTTCGATTTTGGCGTCAGCGTTTCCCAATAACTGTCGCACCTGGAGGCGAGTTCGGACTTTGGCATCGATTCCCTTGACCCTGCTCCCGTCCGAACGTAGGCGCAGCTCGAGGAGGCACTGGTCGGATTCAAATTTCCCGCCATCCGAGGATGAATGACTTTGAGAAGTCATCCACTTAGCAGCGACCGTAGCAAGTGACAAACTGACCGAACATAAATTATCAACCTAACCTACGTAGTGTCTTCAGTTATTCTCACGATCTGATCCTCAGACTCGCCACAAGATGGCTACCGGTCTGTGATCTAGGATTGTCGTTGCGCTTTCCAAGTGCTGGTCGTCGCAGACCTTGTGCATCGGAGGGTCTGACCTTTGATCTATTTCGAGACCTCTCATATATACCAAGAGGACGATACGTGGCGAGCACACATTCGCTCTGGGATCTTCATATATTTTTTTCATCCTCTCCGTTTCTCTTCCTCTTCGTCGTCTTCTTCGTTTTCTTCGTCTTCTCTCTCCTCCTCCACCTTCTTCTCCTCGTCCAAACTGTTCCTCTCTATTTTGCAGGATGTATTTCCGGCGACGTTAGTCACCCGTCTAAATTCATCGGGCGGACCTATTCCGAATTTACCGGCAATCCCCCCCCCC